GACAATGTAATATAATATACTGAATGATTATGCATCTTAACACTAAATGACACAATATATTATATTAATGCTCCAGATGAACATATCCTTGTAACCAGATAATTAAGCATAGGGTCGACACTATAAAAATGGGTTTTAGGGTGGTCATTCATTTCTTCCACAGCACTCTAAGTTTAGGTGCTTAGTTACTGGTCTCTTTGAGGGCTCTTCTGAAAAGCTTTCTTATATCTGAAATGAACTGTTATGGCATAAATTCCAAGGAATTTTTGTGGTGTTGTAATAAAGTGGTTAAAATTCTTCTTCAAAAAAAAACAAAAAAAAAAACACCAGGCATAGGGGTCAAAGGTAGTGATAAAATAATTCAATGTGGATTTTTAAACATTATACTTTAAAATACTATTCTGGACCATTATTGTGGAATAAAGATTGCGAAATTATCAGCAAAATGGCATAACTATCTTAAGAATAATACAGCAATATATTGTATATCCTGGACTGTGATTGTAATATTAATTGTTATAGGCTTCAAGTGACTATTTCTGGTTAGAGCTGTACAACTAAATATAATTAACCAAAGCACAATCAATCAACCCTCTTTTTTGAGTGTGGTCAGGCGAATTTCTGCACAGAGGCACACACATGCAAGGCAATACTAATCACAGTGCTCATCACTGTGGGTTTGTGCATTACAGGAGTGTCAGCGTTTCTCTTTTGCTCTGTGATTCCACTGTACTGCACCTGGTGTGATGCGACAGATCAATCTACAGTAAAACCCCAAGCCAGACAAATCACATAAGAATAAAAGATGCAGGGGCTTTTGTGCACGTTGTCATTGATTCGTTTTAACAACGACTTTCATCATTAAAATAATAATGATAACGTGCCTTAATGGAATTCTGTCATATAAACCATCAGATTCATTTTCCTTACATTGCACCATGGTGGTAGATTCAATTTTGCAGGAATCTCTTTGTGCACAAGTATTTAAATCTGATGTACTCATTCTGTCTTTCCATCATACCATAAAACTTGCAGGTGAATAAATCAAGTTATTTCTAGCACAATTTCGCTTCTTTAAGTATTTAAGAAAGTGCTTAGAAAACTACACTTGATCTTAATGAATTCTTAGAACGTCCCTGAAAGCAGAGGTTAAATCATTTAATTCCAGTGCCAGAATCTGAATTTTCACTTGTCCCATAAAGCAAATATGTCATCCTCAGTCGCAGACTATAATATATGACTGATTAAGATGTTTCACAGAGTAGGCAGCTGGCATCTTAGCAAGTATTTCTCCGCCAAAGTCGCCCTTCAGCTAAAAACCCGTAGCCTTTGAAACCACCTTCGGTTTCAGCTGCTGCATCTTAGCCAGAGGTCTAAAAGTTAAAACGATACATTTTGATAGCTCATAGCCTATCTTATTTCCTCCAAAGCCCCGACGACCGGAGCTTGTATCATCTAATTAATCCCTGGCATGACGTGATCCAAGGCAGGTACAGAAAACAGGGAGTTGGCGAGGATGAACGACCATTACGCAGGTTGTTATGACATCACCATGGGCTGGCTATAAAGCTGTGAGGATTAATACACCGAGTTAGAGGAGCACTTGAGGAGCTTTGGAGTAAAGGACCCGACAGAAGCCTCATATGCTTAACAGCTGATTGGCTGCTGCTACCGTCCATCTTTCTGAACTTCAGCAAAGAGGAATCCCTTAAAGAACACGAGACTTGTCAAAATGAACTTGTCGTATCTAGTAGCTTGTGGACTTATGGTCACCCTGCTTTCTGTGAGGATGGGGGCAAAGCCATTATCCCAGGCTCAGCAGAAGGTAAGAAGTTATTTCAACTATGTTCTACTATATTTATTCGTATTACTGAGAACTAAGACAGTTTATTTGCTTCGCACTTCTAGTTGTTGACAACTGAATGAGCGAACAGCTGTTTTGTTGGTCAGACGCCCCAAACTGTTTTACGCGTCATAACCTATTTCATAATTGCGGTCATGCATAGTAATTCAGAGGAGGCAACGCTTTCTACACCCTGAATCTAAAACTTTTCACCAGATGATCTTTTAAAATCACAATGTGTTTTATATTCATTGATGTCTAACTCCGACAGCCACCGTCACTATGTATTTTACTCTCCAGCATAATTTGTCAGTTATAGCATTTAAGCTTATTTTGAAATAACTTGACAAACACTTAAAGTCAATGAAATCAAACTCTTTAGGCGGAAACCATTCACATTAAGCATGATAAGAAAACTTTACGTGATTAATATATTCAGGTTCGACTTTGGATGGAGCTATTTCAATTGTTGTTGGCAAAACCGACTACAACAAACTAAACGTTTTGTGCGTAAAATCACCATCACGGATAATAGTACCCTGCAGAATCAACCGAATAACACTGAAACTTCAGAAATAATTATTTGAAATACGTTTTAGTTATCACCTTAGAGGAATTTGATGCACAATCTGCGCTCAGCGTAGAGGAGTGAGATACAAGCACATGTGACGAGTAGGACTTGAAGTGTCAGAGCTGAACTGTCCTAACAATGAAAGTGAAGCTTCCTCTCGGGAAATCAACAACATTAAGTATTTCCTTTCAGAACTGAATCGCTGCAACATCATGTGGATATATTCTGGATATATACTGGATTTTGGCCAGACAGAACAGTCGATCTATAGCGCTATGCGTAAAATATGGCAAAGATCATTACATTTTCCCTCCTGGTCAATGCACACGGTGTTCGGAAGCACTTATATTCACTAAGCTGAAGTTTACCTCGATTTAAAATCAAAGGTTATGCAAACGGCTGCTCTGCTCAAACAAGCACCAAGCATGTACTTCAGTTGTATCAAAAGCATATCTCTTTGCACAGCGTATTGCCTAAGGGAAACATCGTTTATTTTCTCAATCTGTATTCCAGTCTCTTAGAGGCTTGCTGGGCGAGGAGCTGGCGGAGTTTCTAGAGTCGGAGGAGAGGGAGAAACGGCTAGATGCTGTGCGCTCTCGGTTACGGTTACTGCGAGATTTACGCATGGACACCCGGGCCAGAGGGATGTGGGCTCGTCTCCTTAACGACCAACCCGCTCCTAGAAGACACAAAACGGGAAACAAGAAAGGGGGCTCTACTCGGAGTGGCTGCTTCGGGCACAAGATGGACAGGATAGGAACCATTAGTGGCATGGGTTGCTAGGCTTGGAGCAGTGCTGTGAAGGTGAGACATCGCTCATATAAAACTCCCACTTCACCCTTACTTTCACTGTAGTCTGACATATTTATACATAAGCAGAACAAGGAAGGCAAAAGGGAGAAAATGAAACATTCAGAAATGGAAGAATGGGTGGAAGGATGAGAAAAGAAACAACCGAATAAGAGAAATGAACAAAATCTAGGATGTGTGGTGTAAACGGATGGAAGTACAGGAGAATAAAGATTAGATAATATAAGTAAAGAAAGAAAAGAAACAAGGACAAAAGTGATGAGTGAAAACGCTTAAACTATTTTTTGTTTCATGGAAGGGCCTCAATTGGTCTAGTGTATAGCTGCAAAAATAGGACTAAAGGAAGGAAGGAAGGAAGGGTGGGAGGAAGTGAGGGGAAGAGAAAGAAAATGAAAGAAAGACCTGAAAAAGGAATTATGATCAAGTTAGACTATTATTATTATTGTTCTTAATTGTGTCTGAGGACACTGCATGCTTTGAACCTAGTTAGGCCAGTTTAGTACAAGTGGCATCATTAGACAGTATAGCAAGTGTAGAGTGATGAACATGCATGACTGTATTATGTCAAGTAAGAACACAACTATAAGGTGCAAGTTTATATGCTTCCTACATCATAGGTTATGTAAGCAATCACAGTAAGCACAACCTCAGCTGCCTGATTGGCTCATCATTAGAAGCTGAGGTGATGTTAAGCTACACTGGGGAAAACGAACAGGAAATCACACTAAACTAGGGATATAGTTAAGCATCGACCTACAATCTAGCTGTGTTCCCTCCTCAGGACCCCCTTAAGAAGTAGCCCACTTAAACTAATGGAAACTAATATATGGGAGACGATCCAGTGGACCTTGAGGAAGTCTACTTTTGTATTTCTGCACACCATCATGAATTATCCCAAAAGGGATGTATCAAAGAAAGACACTTTCGGCTTTTCCCGTTTTTAGGGGTCGCCACAGCGAATCGTCACACTGACGACTCGCATGTTGACATTTGGCACATGTTTTACGCCAGATGCTCTTCCTGACGCAGCCCTGATTCAAACCCGGGGCGCAGCGACGAGAGCGCTGCGCCTTTACCACTAGCCTACCAGAGACGGCCCCAAGAGGGATGTATCAAGTTTATATATATAAAAAAAAAAGCACAGGGAGAGATGTGTGAGGGAATGGAGACAAGCAAATCCACGCACGTATACACACACTTTCAAATGAAGCACCCTGTGGTGAGCCTTTGTGGGAAGTGATTTTAACATTGGTGGGGGCTGTGGTGTAATAAAATAATGAGGAAGTTCATGCACAATTAGTCTTGAGACTTAAGGCCTTTTTGTGGTTGTGACAAACTGTGAAATTCTAATGGGGGGTGTGATTTTGTGACTAACCTGAGTGACTGTGTGCATTTATGTTTTTCATCAGTTGACACAGGCGTTTCCTCCCATGGGCTGCAGTGCATCATAAATGTAAAAGTCAGTGTTAGACGTGTTTGTCAGAGATGAAATGGTTAGGTGAAAAGTCAACAGTTTAACCAAGCATAAAGCTGACATGAAAACATGGAGATTCCCAAAATGAGGAGAGGCTGATGAATGAATGAATCCTTGTTTATTACATTTTTACTTGCTCAATCTAACCTTACTTCTCCTTTTTCTTGTCTTTCTCTAGATCTATGGATGATGGGTTTGGACAACAAAAGGTTCGCCTTGTTCTCACCTATGGGGAAAAATGCACCAAATGACAGATTTTTGGTACGAATCTCACCACAGCCAGCATTACCGTAACAAAGACTGAGATGAATGACATATATATTGTATTTAATTTTTTTTTTTAACGACATGGTCAATAGATACAGACACAGGTGCATGTGTCAATGCATACTACAAAATGGTGGACAATGGTGTAGAAACTGCAAACTGCAAAGCTGTATATTGCTGCTGCTGTACATTCATGTACTTCATCGTCCCTGCATATATGTATTTATGTTTAAAAAAACTATTTATATGTTTATAAAAAGAGATATTTATAAATACATTTTATTTATGTAACATTTTGAAAATGAATGAAAACTGCAGGTCAATTATGTTTGTAACTTTCTTTTGTCTCTAATAGTTGTAAATGTTTTCAAAAATTATAAAAAAAAAAAATCCATGTGCACTTAAACGTATCTTCTCAGGGTTTTATGTTTTAGTGAAATTGGTAATTTTACCAAACCTTTTCTGGCTGCCAGGTGAAAAAGTGGTAGCTTGAAGAGCTACAAAAAATGCTGCCTTGTTTGCAGCTTCACTACCATTCGAGTTTATGGAGTTTACATTTTGCAAATGGTCATTATCAAAAAGTGTAATAGAACGTTCTACACTAATATTGGCATATGTAACATTAAAATGACTAATCTGGGGAATGGCAGCTTTTGGTCATATGCCATACTCAGACTTAACTATTCTGGTTAAGGATAATTTGGAGAGTTCATCTGTTTTATTGAGCATTTGGCCTGCACCTGAGAACTGGAGATATGTGACTGCCACTGTACACATATTAAGTGTTACTTTTACAGTTGGTGCAGACCAACTGCCTAAGCTTTTTGAATCAACATGCAGTAAGGTACCATGCAGACAAAGGGTTAAAGCACTTTAAAAGTTAGAGTGAGGCAACAGAAGAATAAGATGACTAATCATTTAACAATAATGAATTCAGTGGGCCAAAGTCTTAAAAACGAACTGGTTCATGTGATCCTTTAGAGTATTAGCATCCAGTGCACTATGAAGAATATATATGTTGGAGGTAGATTTAGGGGACCGAAGGGATAATGAGATTCTCTAAGCAGTAAGCTTTCAGTTCTTGTTCCATTAATTCTTGGAATTTGGATCCAAGTCAGGCCTTTACATTCACAGCTTTAGGTTTTATGACATTGAAAGTAACAGTACCTTCCTTGATTCACATTATGTAAAAGCTGTTTCCAAAAAAGAAGGCGTTGAAGTTGAACTGATTTTCTGTTGAAGAACAGAAAATGGCATTGAATTTGTGAGATGTTGAAAGAAACAAACAACCTGAGAATTATTGATGAAAAAATATAAAAGTAAGTCTATAAATGTCTATTTTTATGAGAGATAAAATGTGCTAATGAATCAGCCAGCACAGGGACTAAGCCGTAGAAAATGAATGAATGAATCAGCCAGCTAAAGTTTCTGGGACAGGTTGTTCCACAGTATCATGGTATAATCTGCTGAGGTGAGAGTCAGAGAGACTGTGGAGCAAGATCTGTTGGCTGTGCTTTTCAACCTGAGAAAGAGATGGTGGTACTGAATGTGCTTTACAGAGGTGTTGAAAACTACCATTCATTCCATGTATAATTTGCTTTGGGCTCCTATAGATCTAAACATTTAAATTAGTGCGACCCAAGTCGTGTTTATGAGGTCCACACCCTAGTGTGCATGTGTTACTGCTGCACTTATACACTTAAGTCCAAATAATTTTGAGAACACCACAGGTTTACTCTAATATTTACAGCTGTGCCAAGTAGTTTAACATTGATGACTAGCATTAACATTTTCTCTCACTAGAGGGCCCAATAGAGCTGAAAGAACATGAACAGACAACTGCTGCAAACACACAATGCAACCCATCATTTAGCAATCTATGAAAGATTCAATTTGTAAAGGTTGAGTGACTCATTTGATGATGATTTCAAAACCTAATTAATTTTATCCCATGTGTTAAAAAGCACAAAATACATTTTTTCATAATATTACTGCAGTGAGATGTTATCAGAAGGTTCCATTCATTAAAAAGCTATTTATTATGATTGGCGTGTCTCTTTATTTTGATAAGGGGCTGCTGACAAACAGAAAAACCTTTTTACAAGCGTACTAACTTACATACTGTATACACATACAAAAATGATGTACATGTTCAGTACAAACTGGTTACCTAACAGTGACACTAGATGCTAAATGCTACATTTACAATAAAACACAAAGGCAAAACATACACTTTATATAGTTGATGTCCAAATTGCAGGAACAACTGTCAAAAACAATAATAAAATAAAGGAAGCATTGTGTAAAATCAGGATAACACCTGTCAAACAGGGACAAAAGCTTCTCATAAGCTGAAGATCATCAGCAGAGAAGCACTTACATTTAGGATAATTGCTAAAAAGAACCCTAGAGAATTAAAACAACACTACTGTGTCTAACTTAATGCTCCATGTTCAGCTTCATTAGGCTGAGTTGAACCAGATCTGCCATTCATTAAATGTTTACATCAAAGGCCAGATAAACAACCTTGTGTGAGAGCACAAATTATGGAGTCTCATAAGAGCTATATGATTTGACAAGTGCTTTGACTATTTGCATAACTAAATGAATATTTCATAGGGCTATGACTTACACACATCTTCCTCATAATGATCCTATATTCCAATTAAAATGCCAAACTGCCCCAGCCTATATCACAACAGAACCTCTTTGATGAAAACATATTTTACTGCAATGCAAGATATCTCTTCTAGCCTAAAATCCCTTGATGCATCTATTCCCCTCCCTCTGTGTGTGATTATATAAAGAAAAGATAAAAATGTTTTGAAGACTTTGAGGAAATATGGGTGAACTATATACATACCTCCAGAATCAATAGACACAGCAAACATTCTGACTTGTCATTGACCACAGGTTTAGCTAATAACCTTAATGATGTAGTTTCCCAGCATGCCACATCAGTGAACAAGAATGCACAATACCAGGATCCTATAAAGTGAACGCACATCTCTCACTGTATTAATTATCATCCTATTACAGGTAGAAAAATCTTATGACATAAACATAACAAGAAATAAGATGTTTTAATATGAAAACTACCCTTCTTTCCTGATGAACAGTGTTTTCACAAAGGCACAGTCAATTTAGATGAACAAGGAGTTTGGATGAGTTGACACAAACAATAAGGCAAAATAGTAGAATAACTGGATATTCTTAACATAATACAAGTGTTTTAATAAATAATTAGCACGCACCTGTTCTAGTTGAGAAAAATTCAAATCAGATCAGTGTATGACCAGTAGTTTCAATTTGTTTACATTCTATTATCAGTAGTGCCCTACATCATAAACTGTTGGTAGTCTCATCTCATTGTGGGATTTCAATAATATGCTATCAGACAAAAGTCAATTAAATGTAAAACTGTGTCCAAACTTTTAACTAGTAGTGTATATACAATGAAAGAGAGGTTATGCTGGTTTGGATGGAATGATTTTCATTACACAGGGCCCTGTGAAATAGAGCGCTGGGTAATGTTAAGGATGTAAAATGCAATGCTGCCTCTGTGTGGTGTTGAGGGTCAATTGCTCAAATGAGTTGTTCTTGTCTCCTGGGAATTACCTGGTGGAATGTTCTATATCTAACACATAAATGCATACATAAACACACACACACACACACACACAGAGAGAGAGAGATGTTTCCAAGATCAGAATGAACTTTCACTCTCAAAATTTTAGACAACATACTGTAGATCTTAAAATGCACAATATACTGGAAACTTGACCATCTTTCAATTCAATTTCTTATAATGGAGAACATTTGACAGTGTTACATTCTTATATAGGCTACAGTAATTTGATTCATTAATGTGAAAGCATATTACTTAAGTATCCTACTTTTGGCTAACAATTAACTGTATAGTCCTATCATATTTTATAATGATATATCTAATCTTAATCTGCAAAGCAACTAACTTTATGCCAAAGGTAAAAGGTTTTGCAGTTTCAATGCAGTGGAGCAGAAGTAGGCCATACAGCAGGAAAAATGAAAGTACTAAAGTAAAGTAACCCTCAAATTTGTAAATTACTTGATAAGATATTTAGCCAGGATACCACTGCTCTATCAGGTTTATCCAGGCGTTGTGATGTGGATGCAGCCCCGCAGCTAGTACTAGCCTACCTGCAGTGTCAGCATGGTGGGTTACTACACGTGGTTGATGGCAACTGTCTCATACCACGTGATCCATATAAACAACTGTTTTCCTAAACAAAAAAATTTAAATGCCTACCATATGGAAATAACTTTGAACTGCTTTAGACTAGGACCTTTGACAGACTGCCAAGTGACTCGTTATTTATTTCATGTATATGTTCCCAAGCGCAGTTAATAATTTATAGTTTGTTTCTGTGGGGTAATAAATTCCATGTTGCCTATATAGGTTGGCGCGGGCACGATGCAAAAGTGCCAACTTGTGATTGGTGGACAAAATCACGTGGGTTAGACGACCTGAACGCGCAAAGCAGGAGAGAACGAGCGCGTCTTCGTTGTATCTGTCTTTCCTGGCTAATCTTCTACGGAGTAGGCAGAACCACGTGCATGCGTTAGTTGTTTCGTTATTTATCTCCAAACGTCCAGTTTATTGTGTTTCATTGAAACACGCGGCAGCACCATGGTGAAATTAGCAAAGGTAAGACCATTTTACGTATATATTGCTATTTAATATGCGCGTTTGTGATAGAAACGAAGCTGTCGTAAGTAACGCTTGCGGCCTTCACGGAGAAGTTAAGTGCGTTTGTGAGAAAAATGAAATCTGGCACTGGGGAAAATGCCTGCACATATTCTGCAGCCGATGCTTTCTGTTCATTAATTGCACCGATTCTCTATGGTCCTCCTTGGTCAAAATAGTATTGTGAAATGACACTAGTACAGTACGTTTCTTGTCGACTGAGATCAGCCATGTTTGTGTTTGCCTGCTGTTTTTTTTTTGGCCTACTAAGCCAATGCTAACCGACTACTCAAGATGGCACTCGTGCGCGCTCTCGGCTTAAATTAAGCGTGTAATTTGGAGATGCATAGAAGAAGAAATAAACTTAAGTGCATGCCACACGAGTTTGCCAGCTATCAATAACACTTGGACAAGGGTTATTAGACGTTAAATATACCTAACTTACCTATTGTAGACTTGGCTAACGGCTAGCATTAG